TCCCATCTTTGAACTCTGACTAATGCTTGGTGTTTTAAAAAAGTCTTAAGGGCTTTTGAAATCCCTAGTTTTAAAGGCATTTGAAACATCACTATAGGTAAAAATTTGCAGTAACCGTACTGTGTGGAACCTTATTCTTCGAAGGAAAATATGCAAAAATACATAATGACCACTTTGCTATCTTTACTGTTGGTTACTCACTCACACAGATAAATTAATTTTTATGTCTGCTGGACTGACATTACATGCAGGCACCAAGCGAGGTAATAATTCTATGGGTTTTAACCCCTCAAAATTTGTTCACATCCTCCTTGGTCAACATATTGTTCCGCTTTGGTTGATTTTGTCGATTGGGGGCAAAGTCTCGTAAGCAAATTTTGAGGAAAGTTCGAACTTGTCATTGTTTGTGTCCGGCTGTGTGTCCGATTAGTAGCAAAAAATTTTCAAAACTAGTTATCTTATTATCTATTTATATCTGGCTATGTGCCCACCCTGGTTGGCAAAATCTGCTGACGGGGACCTATGGGTAGGGTAGGGCAGTCTGTGAAATTTATTTCCAGCTCTGCACCTAATTGCATGTAAGTTATATACATAGATCTATCCGCGTTATTCCAGACTATTACCAAGGCTGGTATACACTCTTGTTGGGATATGCATACACTATTATCCCATATATGGAGTACAGGCAGTCCCCAGGTTACAAACGAGATCTGTCCGCTAACTTTGGATTGAAGTTGGATTTCTAGGTACTGTAAGTCGGAAAACTAACAGTAATAATAAAAGTAATTACATACGGTTCTGTATTGTATCTCGAGCCAAAGATCTGCTGAAGCCACGCAGTGTTTTCATGAACATCACAAAGTATAGTGTGCGTTTGTTATTATGAACCATTGTGTTTAACCTAATTTTTCAATATAAGAGGCTTTATGGCAGTCCATTTATAAGTTCGAGTTGTCCGTAACTTAGACGTTCTTAACCCGGGGACTGCCTGTAATTCAAAATCATAATAGTATATAAGTGACACTCTATCTTGCCCTATTTAATAATTCAGAAGTGCTTGCTTTTGTTGGCTTTCTCTGTGTTCCTTACTGGCTCATTTCATATTCTTTTGTTCATACAGTGTGTGTATCATCCATTATTGTTTGCTCTTATAATATCCTATAATATCTTTTTGTCAGTGTGATTAAATACTTCATAGCCCTTTTTGTCATAAAACAGTCTACTGATGTCATGCTGTGCATTATTTACATACAAATTGTGCTTGGCCAGGTACAACTGCATGTACTAGGAATTTGTTTTGGCAGTATTGGTGCTTATATTCACAGACAACATATAAGAACAATGAGCATAATTAGGCAAAACAGATAAGTAGAAATAAAATAAAGAATGAAGGAATAAAATAGATAGTGGACAGTGCAAGCTGTACCGCATACTAACAATAATTATAAGGACAGTAAGGGAACAGAGGTATTGAACATAGAGTATAAATAATATGAAAATATATCACAACCCGTAGATGAAAAAATACGTACAAAGATGGGTGCAGAGTAAGTGTGGGAGTGACAGAGGCAGGAACTGTATCAGGGAGGGTCAGGGGGCTTGTTGACGAGTCCAACTGCCGAATGCGCAAGCTATTGATGCAAAATTTCACTGTGCTTTAGTGAAGACGTCTTTCATTTTAGCATTTTACTTTCCAATCCATAATATGCTGAGGGGTAGTGTAATATGCCATCCTTATTTACTAATAACCTTGTGATATCAATAGGGGTGCACTAATCATTTTGATACAGTGCTCATGCACTTGTACTCATCCTTGCGACAATATGCCAATTCCTATAACCGACACCATGTGATGACGGATCAGCGATGTCGTTACAGAGCAAAATAAACTGGACCACAAAATGGTGTATGAAGTACTTGACATGTTTTCGTGACACAGTGCAGTCTATGCTCTGCTAAAATATCAAGTGGAGATATGAAACAAGTTCATATAGTAGGCTTGTATTGTTCTGAACGAGCATAATGTCGTAATGGTGATACAAAGAGAGCATAATAGTGTAATGGTGATACAAAGACAGCATAATAGTGTAATGGTGGTACAAAGACAGCATAATAGTGTAATGGTGGTACAAAGACAACATAATAGTGTAATGGTGGTACAAAGAGAGCATAATAGTGTAATGGTGGTACAAAGAGAACATAATAGCGTAATGGTGGTACAAAGAGAACATAATAGCGTAATGGTGGTACAAAGAGAACATAATAGTGTAATGGTGGTACTAAGAGAACATAATAGTGTAATGGTAGTACTAAGAGAACATAATAGTGTAATGGTGGTGCACTATGTAAAACGTTTTATAGTTTTCTGTGACATGTTTTTACATCAATAAATATGGCCCGGCAATCCATCATTTTCCACAGAGACAAAAAAGTGTGAGCCGCACCACTAATCACCACCCCCACCCCCATCGGTGGGCAAGTTGTAGCGTTTTTAGGTTTGATTGGGTGCCGGCTGTTTAGCAGATCAGCCATGTATCTTTTTTTTTCGTGCTTTCACGGTCTTCTGGATAAATTTTGATGTTATCATTTATCCCAATATTTTAAAATGATTTTTTTAGACATTGCCCAACCTTAATTAATATCAACATCAGTGAGTACTACTCATACTCGGTCTGAAACAATGGTATCGATGCATTCCTAGTTTTCAGCTTGCTCATAAACTGTGTCTTTGCATCTGGAAAATTTCAGTTGCATGGAATTTTAGGTAACATTTTACTTAAGGCCATGTTCTTGATAATTTATAAACACGTTCATAACAAATAATAATGCATTCATATAGCATTATACACATGGGTATGAATATGTATAAAATGGCATAATGCATTATAGCAATGTTTATTGTGCCTTATCAATGCGTTATGAAACTCTCATTTATACTGCACTATAGATACCTTCATAATGCAGTACAAAGCATCCTTATGTCTTATACTTACCATTATAATGCATTATGAAGGTATCTATCATGCATTATAGAGGACAGCTTTAAGTAAAGTGTTGCTAAAAAACAACAGGAATCTGATGAATCCATCTAAACCTTGCACTCTTATGTTCTCCATTGGTCAGACCTGTTACGTTTTATATATAGACTTAATATCGTATTTTGCTTGGCCTCTCACTCATACTGTCGACAGGCCATTCTGTGGTATCACCTTTACCTAAATATATATTAAATATTTTATGACTTTTAAAGGCTTTGTACACAAACAAAGAATTTGAAGCAAACAAATCCTTGGAAAACAATGCAAAGGCTTTTGTTTCCTTTCAGCCCATTGTTCTGTTATCAGCCATTATCTTCACTGTCAGATACGATGCTGGACTCTGTGGACAGAAAGCAGGCATCACACCGAAACCACTCAGAGTGGGCTTCCTGCCTCACGGGCAGCCAGAGAGTCAGGCTCCTGTTTACATTCTCCAGAGACGTGTCTTTCAGGATTGCTCTTCGGTAAAAAGCCCAGCCTTTGACCCCATATCTTCATTGCAATAGAAAGGTCAACATAGTTCCAAGGAATGAGTGGAGCATGGACGTCTGAAATGATATTTGTGTGATATACAGCAAACCTTACGAAGAACAATTAAGAATTTGGACAGTATCCACATCCTCACTGTAATAATCACAGGAAATGTGTCTGCTTGTGCCCTCAGCCTCCTCTCCCTGGATGAAATTGGGAGAAACAACAAAAATAAACCTAGGAAACAATACAGTTTTTGCAATTTTAATATGAACGAACATCCTAGGTGTGCCAGAAGACTCGTTGGTGAGTGGCACCTTGTACCATCACTGGTACCTAAAATGATGTTGGTATTTGTGAAGCTGTAGCTCAAACCCCAAAGACAGAGGAGCACTGCATTCAGAATTTGGAGCATTTAACCAGGACAGAGTGTTACTGACCAGCCCCTAAATCAGTGATGTTCCGACCTGGTAATGGGGCCCCTGCTGTTATTAGAAGAGGTTAGAGGAGATTCTGGACTTACTGGAGTATATTAAATATGAGTGTTTCGGTTAACCAGTTACTTAATCAGTTACCTGGGTTTAGAGGTTTTTATTTAATTCATTTTCAATAATTACATTTAGACAAATCACAAATGTCAAAAGGAAATGTAAACCAGTATAAATGTACCTACAAAAACCCAGTACAAATCAAATCTCAATCAAAAGTTAATGGAGAAATTAGGTGGTCTGCTGTGGAAAACCAGCACGAGGAAACAAAAAAACCTAGTAAAGTCTGACATCTGTGTAACAAACTCCTGTGGGGAGATTAAATTTCAAAATATGCAGTTATTTTCAGGTAACACTTTCAGCAGTGGAATAAATTCATATCTATACTATTTAATTATGGAATATCACCAGAAATGCTCCATGGTGTCATGACTGCGAGGATGAGGGACGCGGCGGGGAGGCATGGTGGAGAAACAAAAAGGGATTTATTGAACTGGATGAACAAAGAACTAAAGGGGATTACTGGGGATCAAAACAGGAGATCTGGGCACAGGTATGATGTCAATGACCAGACTAGTGAGGACGAAACAAACTGGTACTTAAATACATAGACAAAGAAGGGGCAACAAGCATCAGATGTAGCCCATCAGGGCCAAGTCAGAGAGGAGACAGAAGGGTTGGGCAGACATGGCGGGCAGGAAATGACACATGGCATCCCTCCTTGACACCATCTCCAGCTCTTTTTCTTTTTGTGGTACCCTAGTTGGACAGGAACAATCTTACATTGAGATTCTTCCACCTGACTCATAATCAAAGGAAATGTACCAATATTTGCATCAATCAGCCTTCTGAAACAGCACCTTACCAATACATTAGTAAAGTTTGGAAATGTATGTTTGTTCATAATGTACAGCTTGGGGTCTGTTTGCGGATATGATTAATGTCATAAAACAAGTCTTTGTTTTTTGTATGCCTAAAAATTGTGACTTTCTTCCTCCCCCAGGACCTGTAATGGGGTTACCTTGGAGAAATAACGATTTATATTGATGGATGCCAGCAGGTAAAGCAAGGTACGGTAAATTAAGTGTGCGAACTGCATGATTCAAAATCGTTGGCTGTCAATGAGAATACTAGTGAAGTCTGAAATTTGGATATTACAAGTGCTATAACAAATTATGATGAATTAATTAAATTTCAAAAGAAATAACCTATCATGGGGTAAGATGTACATATTAGTTTTTAAAAAGCTAATTTTAATGAATGCATTCTCTTCTACTGGATTACCAGTGGACTCTGTAATTAAAATGTGTTTCTGCAGTCCCTTTGTTCCACATCCAGAAGTTTTGCTAAACTAAAATGTACATATAAGACTTAGATACAAAATTAACTTCTACTATATAAAAAAACATGACAAAAAATCCTCCATAAGTATTTCATTTCTAAGATTACCTTATGAACAGAAACTTGAAAACTTGCAATCAGCAGTGACAAAGGCTAATGTTACTTAGTGAAAACTAGTTTTTCCCCTCAGTGTGAAATCTTTCCCCGATTTACTTTCCCTCTAAATTTGAGGTGGCCAGTCACTCGTTTCGGTCTCCATTTGATGTGCAGTACCCAGATGAAGACGCCCTTCTACAATGTAGTCATCAGCTGCACAAAATAAAAGTTTTAATTAACATTTCAAGCAAAATGAAAATTACAAGTGTGTGTGGAGTATGTTTTCTTCATGTGCTGTCATTTTCTCCAACAGTCCAAAAATAAGCTCTTTGATGAATTGGCTTCTGTAAGACTCACCATAGTGCTCTGTGAATACTGGTATAGGCTCTCAGTTCATGACACCCCAGCACTGAATGTGATCAATAAAGATGGACAGGTGGATGAAAATTATATGTAGAATAAGTTTGTTGTATCAGGCCCTTTGTATGGAAATGCTCAGAGTGTCACGTCCGGGAAGAACAGAGCAGGCTGAACCCAGATGCAGGAGACCCAGAGGTTTATTGGGACACCGAACAATAGACAAGTCCAAAGGGGCGTGAAACAAGCGATGGTCAAGAAGGCAGGCAGAGGGTCGTGAGCCGGAGAGATCAATCCTACGAGGAGGCACAGGACGGGAAGACGGGCACACCAGGGAACACAGATGAAGCAGGGCAGGGATCAGGAAGACGAGGCGGGCAGGCAGGTCAGGCAGGGTAGGCAGGGCAGACGACGTGGCACAGAAGACAAGAGAGGAAGAATGCTTAGTAGGGAGCATGAGAGCAACAGTGCTGGTTAAATAGACGATCGTAACGAGGCTTAGTCACGTGGCCCCGCCCACCGAGGCGTGACACAGAGATGTTACTCATCCCTCGGGAACTAAATTGAGTGGAGGGCAGTTTCTTATATAATTGCAATTATGGTTCTCAAAAATAGTTATGGATTTCAGGTACAATATATGACATACCAAACATAAGTATATCTAGAACAATTTGTGTTGAAAATTATGTTAGAGAGGCTGTATTTAAATAAGCATGTTGCCCATACCAGTTGCTAATTAAGGCGTTAGCATGATTGTTGATCTCGGCAATCTTCTTCTTGATGTGCGATGCATGTTTTCTAAAGGTACTCAAAATAGATGCCCTACTCTACGCGTTCTATCACCTCCTGTCAGCTCGCTGAATTTACGAGAGCGGCGCTTATGTCGCCTTTAATGCTGTCGAGTCTTATCCGCTTTCATTAATCTTGGCTGGAGGTGCGTTTGTTTCTCAGATCCTGCCTTGAATAGAAGGACTGTTCTAAGCATTCAGTTGGAAAAGATCACCACCATATGTCTAATTAGCATAAATGGGAATGTAACTGTGAATAAGTCTATTAATACCGACAGGAATAAAAAAAAAAAGAGAAATGTGAAAAAAACTAAAACAAAAAGATAAACCAAACAAGGTATTTGAGGAGCAATTTTGTTGACCTGATTTCTGCAGCATCTAGAAAGAAACCACATTCTGTGTTTGCAGTGTGTTCATATATTTCAACACATACTGCTTATCATGATAACATAATTTGTGTTTATATTGTTTGCATATCATTACCACTGTACTAGGCTGCTGCTAGTGTTCCACAAAAACAATCTAGGTCGTATGGCATTTTTTTCATCTTACTGGTCTGTTTTTGATACTCTTAAATATTTGAGTCAAATCGTTGCCTGAGAAACAGCTCTCCAGCCATGACTCAGTGCTCACGTATTGTGCTAGGCTGCCATGTCGCCATCGCAATATAAAGACATTAGCTCATAATCATCTGTTTTTTTCCCCAGTATTATGTGTAACCAGATGCCTCAGGACAAAATTGAAACTTGTATCGTATTTTCATCATATTGTTCATTGAGATTGTCAATTAAAATTACATTATATATGTAACTTGAAATATACAGTAGATTTAGGTAATTTATATTTGGTTGGTGTCTGGCTCTGTTGAGTCAGACTCTGAAGCCAAATCCTGTGGCTGCCAGCGTGATGTAACTGTTGGGCCCCGGAGCAAGGCCTGTATCCTGAATTTTTCCTGGGTTTAGCTGACCTTCTTGTCTCAGTTGTCCGTCACTTTGGATAAAATCGTCTGCTAAAGAAATATAAATGCAATAACTCACGATTCGGTAGCCCTAAAATACAGAAATGTATTCAAACCAAATCTTTCTACCCTTACACAACATCTGGTAACTATAATCTTCCCATTCCTGCCTAGAATAAGAATGAAAATCATTATATTCTGATTATATATTCTCATTTACATAAAACCATACAAGAAAGGAAGCATGATTTACAAGAAAAGATGCACATTTAGATGAAGGAAATATCACAATGTGAAACATGACTGGCATTTTGCTGGTTTAAAAAAATGCAGTGAGCAAAAAAGTTCTTGTGATCAGTGATTAGAAGAAAATGAAGACTACCTTTGATCAGCTGATGCCTCGGGTAAAGTCAATAAGCTTAAATCCGAGCATAAAAACAGCCACTTGCTGGATCTGAGAATTAGACTTTCACCGGGACAGAGGTCAATGTTAATTTTTAGAATTCACAATCGATAAGTTTATCACAGCTTATTATTGAGATTAATTACTACTTACTCGACAGTAGGAATTGCTTGGAAAGTAAGGCTTCTAAATAATTAATACAGAGAATGCCAGACCATTTCAAAACAAATTTGTGCTGATCCCCACTTGTGGGGGGCGTAGGGGTTGAGTTGCTGGTGTTGTGGCCTTAGTCATCATGCCCAGTTCTCTGTGTATGTGATTGGTACGGCACTTTCAGATCGTCCCTGCGTTTGGGTACCTTTCCACAGTCTGCTCTTGATTCTCCCCCTGTCCAAAGATACTTACGACCCACACCGACCTTAAATAGCATCCTATTGAAGATCTGCCCTACCCTACCTGTTAGACTTTCTGGGAACAGGATCCTCCTTAGCTTGATTAGCATTTTGAAGGTGAATGTTTGTATGTCCTGAAGAAAGTTGCAATATATCACTCTAATTTTGGGAAAAGAGTTCCGACTGTGAATTATGTAAATATTTTGAGGGGAATTTGGGGATATTTGTATGGCCTGTACACAACCTCATTTTCAACCTGACTGAATGTCTCTGTGATGAACTGGACTGCAGAAGTAGGGCAAAGCACAAATAATATAGTTACCCACAAACTAAGTACATACTGATCTCATGCTCGTTCTTCATTAATGAATACTCATGCATCTTTTATCAGAAGTAGCTACTATATTTCTTCAGGATTTGTACTTCTGTAGTAATTGAGTTACTATGAAGTAGTTGCGCCCCCTCAAGTAAAGTGTTACCAAGTATTGTAATGCTATATAGGAAGAGTGAACACATTTTAATGTTAAGTCTGGAAGGCCAAAAACAGTTACACTAATCTCATCTGTGTGATTATATAACAATATAAAAAATAAAACATGATTATGTAAATAATATAGTGACATACAGACACCTGTTTATTTGTGCAATTATGTAAACCATAATGGGGTAAAAACGCAATCTCAGTGATTTTACCTGTGGCCTGATGGGCGGGTTTGAGTTCAAAGTTGAATTTTAGTGGTGGGGCTTCCCTTATAGTTAGCCTGAAGTTAGCCTGAGAGCTCTTTTGCCATGCATGTGCAAAGGGAACATGCATTGTCTTTGTGTTATAGTCAGTCAGCAACCTGTAAAATGTGTGTGTGTGGGGGGGGAGCTTTGGAGATCCCCAGACATGGGTAAGACACATGGCGGGCCTGCTCCCAGCAATACTATGGTGTTCCTAATAAAGTGCTCAGTGAGTCTGTGTGTTTCTTTTGCAAAATTCTTTTAAAAAAAGGTAACAGAGTATGTGATTATAATTCAGAACTATATAAATTTTAATTTGGTATTTGTATATGTAGGTAAAATTCTAAGCTAAAAATGACAGAATGTGTTCGCATAGGTCAAATCTGAGAATGAATTTCATAGGAAACCAATCCCAGACAATATAGAGCATACGGCGAGGAGACAGCGTGAATGGAATTCCAGTCCATCGCTAGGCAAATAGGCAATTTAGAAACAGCTTAACTGCGTGTCTTTGCAAGTGTAAAGCCTGGTGACAGCTCCACACGCAGCCAATGCGGAGGCAGGCCTCAAACCCCCATCTCGGAAGTGTGAGGGAACAGTAGTACCTACTGAGCCTCCCTAAAGAGGAGATTCTTTGAATGTTTTTGAACATTTGGCATTATTATTTGTCATTCTTCTCCCCCCACACTCTTTGTAAATTCAGAAACACCTCACAAATTAGAGAAGGCCCCCATCACAATCTGGATATGGCAGTTTGTGTTGCTGCTGACAATGAACTGATTGTGTTTCGTTAAGCATGGCATTAAATCCAAGTGAACTTGGAAACAGGCGTATAATTGTGGTGTAAATAGACTCTGCCCGCTTCCACGCATTCAGGCTGCTCTGAGGCGGTTTGTCATTCCCACTGTGTGCTGCAACAGTACCTGTAGGAGGTGATGACACGCCCAGCTGGGTTGCATGCTGCGGCCCCCCCAGGCTGATGGCAAAGAGCGCCTGCGAAGCAATGATCGCATTTCCTGCCGGGAGTGCTGTGAGGTGCAATCAGCACATGGCAGCTGTCCTAGGACAGGCTCAGTCCAAGGTCCAGCCTAATCCCTGCATCGAATGGTATTTGGGAAGTGGGAGGAAGGGGAGAATCACTTTTTTTTGACTCCCACTCTTTTTTGATTATGACTCTTTCCTATGCTCTGCAAATAGCCTCTCATTCAAGTGTTGGAATCTAGTTATTCTTGCCCATGAAAATGTGTAGGTTTAGAACTTTTCCCAGCTGTGTAACATTTAGAAATGAAAATGAAAGTGCTTCTTTCACTTTAAAGAGGACAGAATGTGGATCAAGGGGCCGGCATTAAAATCACTGTTGTCTTTCAAGGTGGAGGACTGGCAGCACGGAATTCTGGGAAGGTTTTGGTGCTTTTCTGCAAAACCAGGTGCGACCTGGAGATGTAATTTACAGAAATACCTTGTCATTATGAATCCATCGTATGTATATGGCAGGTACAAGATCGCGGCAGTTTTCAGTTCCTTTATTTACTTGCAGTACATTTTAGCAGACCCTTTTGTCCAAAGTGACGTACAAGTGAGGCAAATAGCTCATTGCAGGAGTCAAATTAATTCTTGAGTATTTATTTAAATGTGGTATAAAGCGTGTAACACTCTGATCTGCAGTTTGTAGTGTAGCTGCAGAGTTCTGAAGATTAATTGTGTAATACATGGCCTTCATGGATCAAGTACATTAGCGGCCTGCAGCCATGTAATTGATTTCAGAGTGAAAAATTGAAAACAGAATGTGGGACGATGATGTGTACCTTCCTTGCTATAAAAATATGATCTCGCGCATCAGAAGGTTAATTGATAGTTTTTTTTCTTGCTTTTGCGCAGAGAACTAAAATCAAAACAAAGAATGGTTGTCTTTTTAAATGGACAAAGTTTATGTTTGGGCATTCAGAGCAAACTGCCAAATTTTTACGTATTATATTTTCTATCTCTTTCTCCTGGTCAGGGTCATGGGGGTTGTGGTACACCCTGGATGGTGAAATGGGATTGCTGTGTTACTTACTTCTGTGTTACTTACTTTGAGGTCTTAATGCTACATTTTTCACGTAATTTTGTGTTGTGTTGTTAAAACCTCCCCTAAAGTCACCCCAGTATTTGCAGCGACCATCCAGTACAACCATGAATTATTGACACAACCACTAGCCTGATGTGTTGGTTAAACAATACCTCTTTGAATTATTTAAGCAATTAAATGGATTCATTAAATGAGCTGGTGGTGAAATTTAACAAACACATGGAATGGCTGAGATGCCCCTATGGAGAGACTCAGGAACCAAAGTGGTATTCTTCTGGTCATCCAACAAGGCATGAGTAACTTTCTGGAGAATAACAGAAATTCCTGGTACGCTTTATTGTGTTACTCTAAATTTCCATATGTTCTAATGTTAAATTGTGTTTTTTTTTTCAGAACAAATTTACACCAGATATAAAACTTTTATCATTTTCTTTGGCTACCTAAAACCTTTGCACAGTGCTGTATATACAAATATGTTGGCACCATACTGTATGTTGCACAGTTATGTTTCGTTATCCACTGTATTTATTTATTATTGTCTCGTATGTTTACTGTTTACTGTTCTAAGTAAAGGTCTTGGATAAATGCTGGTTCATTTCACTGTAGCCCTGCATATTTTAAAATGACAAGTTTGACATGAGTTGATATAAACAAAAAAATAATATCCCTAGTTTAATATCTGGTTCAAATGATAACATAATCAGTGATATATACATATTTATCTTTGTTACGAGATGAATATAGTAGTAGGCAGTTTATATGTGTATTCATGTATTGTCAAAGTAAAGCAGAGAATATGAATATTTGTCCAGTAACTTCTCACAAATTTAACTTCACAGCATCACATACTCTCTGCATTCCTGTGCTTACAGTTTCTGTAAGTGTTTCTACATTGTCTCATGTCCTGTGGGAGAGGAGCTGTGTAAACACTGCTCGGTGCTTTGCTAATTATTATGCAAAACCATAATGCCTGTCTAGAGTGAAGGGGTAGAGGATGCCCAATAAGACAAGGGTGCTGCATTCTCTTTATGCAGGGTGCAGTCTACAGCGTGTCAGTTTGGCTAGGCATGCACGGCAGAGAGGTCTCACCTCGCTGTCTGTGGGGTCCTGACTCCTGTCACAGCTACTGAGAACACTGTCAATACCAGCAGGCCCCTCTCAGCCCTGGGAAGGCTGCTAACAAACTCAAGTTGTGCTGGAGCCCTGAGAGAATATTGCCTGGCTATCAAATACTGTCCACATTCTCGTTGCTAAATTACCAACTGTATTTAGAGCCATATTTATTAAGGGAAAAAAAAAAACACGAAGATGCCTCTAGTTCTTAATGTAGTGGATAATTCATAATGTTATTGGTTTCAAAGACTTTTACTGTATGTAAAACATGCCAATCAATTAAGCATATTCTCTGAATTACGTCTTATGTAATCCCTTCCCCAGGATGACTAAGAGATTTAAGCACAAAGCACATAGTGGGACACTGCTTCTGATGTTCTGTGTGATTTCCCTGTGGGAGAAGACTGCTGGCCACCAAGCTGATGGTCACCAAGGTAAGGTGCAGCATGTCATATTAATGCTGATGACTTTTGGAGTCTCTCTAACTCCGAGCTTTACCATCTGCTAAATAAATGTTTGATTTCTGCTTTCTGGTGCATCCTCATTATCCTGAGTTTGACACATCTCTGGGTCAACAAGGGAGGGGCTTGCGAGGCAATTCTGTAACCAGTCATAGCCCCCATTGTATGGCATCACCACATTCATTAAGACCAGTGTTTTCTGTTAAGTTCCCCTTTTATTGTGTGTGCCTTCTGTTAAGGGATACAAAATATAGGAACATGTTTACCTGCAAAGTCTGTATGGAGCAATGTAAGGGTGTGTTTTTATTTATTATTAATAATAATAATAATAATAATAATAGTGGTTGAACCAGCAACCTTCTGTTCACAGGCACAAAGGCTTAGCCTGCAAGACCACACATCACATCACACCCAGCTGGTTGGCTGGAAGCCTTTAATTTGAAACAGAGAAAAAAATGGACCAGTCTGGTGATGTATACAATGAAGACTGTGATTGGTTAGTGAAATCCACACCCCTCCCTTGTTGACCCAGGGATACATACTGTAGAACTCAGAGAAAATCAGGATGTCACTGTTGTCACATACAGTTTTTGTAGACTGGCGTCTTTAAATTGTTTGCATTGTGTCCCATGATAGACTGGAATTCTTTCTAGTGTGTCATTCACTGTGACTGCAATGGATAAATGAATGTAAAATATCTCCTATTGGTTTCATATTACATATATGTTGTGAATTTCTGTGCTGTACTGTCTTTCATAATGCAGATGATGGGGGTCTGTGTGTGGCTCAGTGGGCTAAGCCTCTGTGCCTGTACTCAGAAGGTCTCTTCTGATTTAAATCCAGCCTCAGCACATCTGCAGGTCCCTGTGCAAGGCCATTGTCAGTCAGCCCCCTGGGTGCTGCAACAGGTGGCTGCCCTTTGTAACCAAGCTTACTCTCTTGGACAGCGAGATGGGGCAGGTGAAAAGAGAATTTCCCCATGGGGATCAATAATACTAATTATTATCGTTAAGTAGCCACTGGGTCCAAATGTGACCATAAAAGTCTTAGAGTTATTTGGGAAGGAAGTCAATTTGAAATGTATGAATTAAGCTGTCATTGTTGATTAATGGCAGAGATGCTGATCTCCATTAAAATGCACATGATTAACTTGGATCAAGCTAAGCCATATCTTTGGAAGTCATGTAAATTCTTGTTTGGCAATTAGAAACGAGCTCTGATTTCCTAGTGGTTCATACAAGTCCTCTTACTGGTTATTATATTATTGTTACTGTTATGCTGGCCTGGTCCTAGGCGTACAGCAACAGTCCTCCTGCACTGGTTCTGGACTTGAAGAGTACTGCATAGAAACAGACAGGCCAGACAGGAACCAAGTGTGGAGCCGACCAGGCACAACGCTGGAGGACCAAAAAAGGAAACAGTAACAAAGAGCGGGTCAAAAAGTCAGGCAGTGGGAACCAGGAAGTGCCAGCATCTAGATGGGATGGTCCAGAGGGACGAGATACAGAAACCAGGATGATGCAAGGGTCAAGAAGCCAAAGATCAAGAACCAACAGAGAACAAGGTCTAGGACTGAGCAGAGTGATAAAAATGCTTAACTATCCACCAGGCTTGAGACTTGATGCTAAAATAAAACTGCCTATAGCCTGTCCCAGAAAGCATAGTGCATGAAGAATGGAAGCCCTGTGCAGTGACCTAAACACATTGTGGAACACTGACAACACCCACACTGAGTCCAGTCAAAAAGCTTGTGGTTAGTGTCTATGTCCGGTGATGCACTGGTATCCTATCCCCTGTCACCTGCCTAGCATCCTCCATTTCATGGGACTACAGGTAAGGCACAATAGAACTGCAGAATGGAAAATGATTGGATGTATGTCCAGGGATACACATAACGGGTATGCAGGTACGCATTAACCTTTAAAAGCCATACATGCGGCAATTGATTGTTGTGACAGCGCAAATGCACGCTTATTTGATGTGCATTTGCACTGCTATGACAAGAAATCATCATGTAAAAAATCAAGCGCCTAGTCATGCAGTCAGGTTTACAAACATTTGTGAAAGAAAAGCGTGTTCTGAAGAGCTCAGTGAATTCCTGTTCAGTCACAGTAGCAGGTTTTAATTGAGTGTTGTAGGAAGCCAGTAATCCTGTAAACGGATAGCTAACAGGATGAGTTTAGCACGTCTCTCACTGCTCATAATATTTTCAGTGCAAGTTTTTAACAGTTTACACAGTATTGTGAACACAAGTCCATTAACTTAAAACCATTTCAATGTTTTAATTTTTTAACTTTTTACACCACAAGAAAGGGCACATTTTGCATTAAGGTCCTGAAGGTGTACATTTTGACAGATCTTAAAAGCTGCGGCAATATCTCCATTCTCTGTACTTTTCCAATCTCTGTCTATCACCAAGGAACAAGCCTGAGGACTTAAGCACTTCTCTCAAACCTTAATGCCTTAAAGGATCAAAGATGTTTTTCTAAAACAGAAAGAAAGGGATTACTACTTTACGGGTCAAAAGTATCAGCTTCGCTTAGTGTTGTGGGAGCTCGACTTGCTAGACAAGTAAAGTTCTGCACCCAGGCACTTCCAAAAATGAGTTCTTTAAGAGATTTTATAATTTTATCCAAATATATGTTTGTTTTAATAATTTGGCTTTATAATCTGAAATGAAGCATGTGGAGGGTTAATCTACGCTGAACTGTAGAAAGCAGAATCTTGAGGTGCCTTCTCCATTCATGTCAGAATACATTAGGGCTGAACATTTTGGAGATTTGGTGAATTATATTCCCCAGATGGGGAATAGAGATGGTTTAGGGCCAGTCAACCACAGCAGACACTTTCTTGTGAGTATAATAACTCGCAAGGGATATAAAGAGAAGCACAGCCTCAGAAACTAGTTTTTTTTTTCAGTGTGATAACTCCAAAAGTGTTTGTTAGATATTTTCCAAACTTTACACATCCAGTGTATGAGTAATGATCTGGTACTGTTTAAGAAAAAATGTACAAAATTAGCAGCAACTTAGTGGCAGCAAGGGGAAGGGTGACTGCAGGAAACATTTGACCTTGTAAACATGATAACTCTACACTGATTTTATTTCCAGACAAATTGCACCAAAATTGAAGCAGCAGTGCTCAGTGGCACCAAAGGAGGGAAAGGGCAGCTGTAGGAGATACTTGATCTTGTGAACACAGTAACTGTATTGAAAGATATCTTCAGGCTGGATTGCTACCTTGACTAAACAGGAGCAAAATTGACCTCTTTTTTCATAAACAAATATACAAAACAGTGTTGCTCCATGTTTCATCTTTATAATTGGGAAACCAGCTAACCTATCATGAAATCTATCAAGAAAATATTACCAAAGAAAAATAATGTATAAGATAGACGGCCTCTGATTCCCCTTAGAATTTTGTACTGTGCTTGGTTTTAGTTATCTTAGAGTCAGTAGTAGTATAGCATTATTCTTGCTACATTTTGAGTTTGAAGCTGTATTTCTACCAAAAACTATATTTGGCTTTGATTTAGTAACTTTTGGACAACAAAGGGATTTTTTTTTGTTGTTGTTGTTGGTGTGTTACTCTTAATTAAAAAGATGTTCTAGTGTTAAATTGTGTTTGTTCTGAGCACATATACCCTTACTACTCAGATAAATAGTTTTAAACATTTCCTTTGACTTGCTTAGACTTTTTGCACAGTACTTTACAGTATACTTATTAATTGATTGCACATTCCTCATGGAATGGCCTTCCATGGCCGAGCAGCTGCATGCAAGGCTCACATGACCAAGTGCAGTGCCAAACATCGGATGCAGTGGTGTAAGGCATGCTGCCACTGGACTCTGGAGCAGTGGAAACATGTTCTCTCAAGTGACGAATCATGCTTCTGTCTGGCAGTCTGATGGACGAGTCGGGGTTTCGCAGATGCGTTGTGCCAAGTTTGGTGGAGGAGGGATAATGGTAAGGGGTGTGTTTCTCAGGTGTTGGGCTACTCCCCTTAGTTCCAGTGAAGGGAACTCTTAATGCTTTAGCATGCCAAGACATTTTGGAAAATTCTATGCTTCCAACTTTGTGGGAACAGTTTGGGGAAGGCCCTCTTCTGTTCCAGCATGACTGTGCCCCAGTGCACAAACCAAGGTCCATAAAAACATGGTTGAGTAAGTTTGGTGGGGAAGAATTTGACTGGTCTACACAGAACCCTGACCTCAAACCCTATTGAACACCTTTGGGATGAACTAGAATGGATGATGTAAGTCAGGCCTTCACGTTCAACATCAGTGGTTGTTTTCACAAATGCTCTTCTGGGCAAAAATTCCCACAGATGCACTCCATTAACTTTTGTATTGATGCTTATGAATTTATAATGGGATGAAATAGAAGTTCCCATGTAATGGCCATGTTTCGCAATACTTTTGTCCATAAAGTATATATACGTACATTCGAGGACAAAGTTTGGAAGTGCATCTTGGAGCAATATGTGTGATAAATTTCACCAAATTAAAATACTGCAGTCTAAAGAAAATATTACTACAAGCCAATCTTACTCAATCCCACTTCTCCAAGAAAAAAGCAACAGGAAATTTTTCCACAAAAAAAATTCCCCACAATTAATTTCACCAGACTGCTACAAACAGAATTTTCCCAACAGGGAGGCTAGCGACTAACAATCAACATAAACTTTGTTATATAATATTCAGAAAATCATCAATGTTACAATGTTAATGGGACATTTGCAAAAAGAGCTATGGAATAAATTCCAGCAACATTTGGCAGATGGCTGTGTTTACAAGGTGGTGGCTACAGGCTTCATTTTCACTCCTTGCTGCCGTCTGTTTCCAGTTCCAGTTTTGCTGGCCTCTGTTGCTGCAGTTCCAGTTTTGGGTCTGATCAAGTGTACATTATTAGGTGTAGATTTTCATCCATATAATGTTTTTGTGAAGTGGTAATTAGATTCATCAAAGATCACACAGGATGAATAGAGTAAATAAATTCATTTATCCTGGTCACAAGGATAAGCCTCTATTCATTGCATCCTTGTCTTTGCTGTCACTTCAATTAGGTGTAGTTTGTCTGAAAATGTTATCATGTTTGGATTGTCACCCATATAATGTGCCTGCAAAGTGCTATAAAGTTGCTGCATTTGCAAGTCCAAGTGTAACAGACTGTATTGGCAAAGATCTGAAAGTACTCAAATTTTGAGATAATAATAGCAAAGAGATCTTTTTCAACCTTTAGAGATACATTTTAAGGGTCAAGATCTGGAATTGATCAAATTTCCAGGTGAATTCCAAAAAAAATGAAGAAGCACCTCATCTTATGAACATGCTAAAATAAAGTTGGCCTGACCCTCCACTTAGACCACAAGTCCCCCCCCCCCCTCATGGGTAATGCAAAATTTATCACAGTGGATCTCCCCCCACGTCAAGATACCAGAATGGCATTGCTTTTGAAAATATTGTCTAAATACAGATGCAGTGATATAACAATTAGGAGGAATAGTGAGGATTAGCTGGAGGGGGTGGGGTAACAGGGGGTCTGGGAATATATTGACAGCATCTGGTTAAATGCTCTATTTATTTGTTTGTTTGTTTGTTTGTTTATTAAGCATATCTCACTTGGAGGAGAACTGTGAAGTTGATGTTGATGTGAAACAAAAGCTCTTATCTGTTACTCCTTCCAAGCCTTATAGTGAGCATCAGCAATTTCCTTGTTTGGTTCTTCATTGCCTTATGCCAGCACATGTATTGTCCTCTGTTTTGATTTAAGGTGATGGGAGGATGGTTTACAATGTAAGCCTGTAACAGTGTGTGGAGGATGTCTTTGATACCCGTGTGTCAGTCATAATCACATCTGACGCTCTCAGTTAAGCTACTCCTTGATGTGTCGGCAATGAGGGTTGTCGTGCATTAGAGTGGCCAGCTGTCTAAACAGAAATTATTTCATGCTGTACTGCTGAAACCCCAAACCAAACTGTTTAATTAGGTGCTGTATGCCATGAAGCATAATTTATTTAATTTCTTGGTGAAATCTTAACACTTCTGGTTAAAATATTCATTTATAGTAGGGAAAATCTACTCCATATAAATATTTTGCTTGTATTATTCATGAATTTTCATATAAATTGTTTGCATCAAATAAGATGGAAAGAGTGTTTCTAAATTCCCTGCTGTGAGACTGTAGGAGTGTCTGTGCCCATGGAGTGGGCTGCCTGGGATTGGATCTTGCCCCCACCCCACCCCCCAAGGATGACACTGTTAGGTTAGGGTGCTTGGAGTTGGAATTTGGTTTTGTGATTCTTTTGGAAGCTCTTAGATGTTCTCAAGAATAGTAGTGAGGAAGTAAAAATTGTTCACCTCTCCAGCAGTACATCACGTCGGAGCTGGGACCTGTGAAGTTGTAGCCATACACCGATGCTGCAACAAGAACAAGATAGAAGAGCGATCACAGACTGTGAAATGCTCCTGCTTTCCAGGACAAGTGGCCGGGACCACGCGGGCTGCCCCCTCATGTGTAGATGGTATGTTCCATCTGAAATGTTCCAGTTTCTTTTGCTTTGCATGCTGCTTTCTCTCTGTTTTTTTCTATGCACCCTAATGTTTGTACTATATCCTGTATGAATGGAAAGAACTGTGCCAAGTAATAGTCGTTAACTTATTCCTTCTCTTTATATACTTTTATACCTTTGGGCTCTTTTTAATGCTTTGAACTTAAAGGAAAATGACATGTCTAGAACAGCAAGTATTCACCATTTCTTATAAGGTGGTTGATTTCTCTGCATCAGGCAACAAAATGGGGATCTTCTGCAAATCAATAAGCAACTGTTTTTAATGGACAAACAACATGACAAAATGTTAGTTACACAAATAACATACAATCCATCGATCAGCTGCACGCACTATCCGTCGTATTATCTTGCAGTTGGAGACACTACAATTCGAAAGCCAAACAGTGATGAAGATGACCCGAACACTCTTGAAAGTGACACAGGCTGAGCGTGGTGAGGATGGGGGGGGGGGGGGGCTTACACTTGCCCTCCTTAGCCACCATAGGAAGTGAAGACACTGCATCTTCTTGGCTGAGGAGGAGGTGTTGATGGCCCAGTCATCTGTCAGCTGCTAAGTGCATCCCAAAGAATCCGGTGCTCCTGACCTACTCTACCACAAAGCCCTTGGTGGACAGCAGGGGGTAGACACCATGGGATGTTCTGAAGTCAACAACCATCTCTTTTTTTCTGTCGATCCACATTAAGAGACAGATTGTTGGACTTACACCAGTCTGATAGCTGCTGAAGCGCCATCCTGTACTCCGACTCATCGCTGTTGCTGATGAAACCCACCACCGTTGTGTCAGCAAACTTGATGATGGTGTCGAAGCTGTATGCTGCAATACAGTCATGGGTCCGGAGGGAGATCATGACTGGTCTGAGAAAACAATCTTTAGGGAGTGCCAGTGCTCAGCGTGTTAGTGTTGAAGGTGATGTCTCCGATGCAGACTGTCTGGGGTCTCTCTGTCAGGAAGTCCAGGATCCAGTTGCACAGGAAAGTGCTGAAGTGCAGCAGACTTAACTTCCCTATGAGCCTCTGGTGGATGATGGTGTTGGATTCTGAACTGAAGTCAAAGAACAGCATGTTTATATACAGTATGTGTTCTTACTTTTGAAATGGGAAAGGGCCAGATGGAGTGCAGAGGATATGGCATCTTCACTGGACTGGTTTGGGCGATAAACAAATTGGAGGGGGCCATGAAATGTGTGAAGACTAGCTTTCCACTGCCCCACAACTAGCCTGTCAAAGCACTTCATGAGGACAATTGTTAGTGCTACAGGGTGGTAGTCATTGAAGCAGGAGAGAGAAGACTTCTCACACTGTATGATGGTGATGGTGATGGCTTTGAAGCATGTGGGGATGACTGGCTGGCTCAGGGAAATGTTAAAGATATCTGTGAAGCTGGTTCGCACCTTCCCCAAGCACACAGTCAGACATTTTGTCTAGTCCAGCAGCTTTACGTGGGTTTACTTTCAGTAGTTTTCCCTCTCGTCTGCTGTGGACAAACACAGTACCTGTTCTTCAGATGTCATTCAGGGCATCAAACCATATGGTCCTATAGTTCATTATGACCCGAAGACCCGGTCACGCACAACACAAGTCTCTGGTGTCCTGAAAGTGGATTTTCTTGCCGTGTGTGTGCTTAGCTGTGCTGATGCCCGTGGACAGGTTTGCCCTTGCCATCAGCAAGGCTGCCTTGCTGCCCAATCTTAAATGCAGCGTGACAAGATTTCTTCAGCATACAAACAGTACTGTGCAAAAGTTTTAGGCAGTTTTAGGCTATTTATCTGGGTATTAAATATTTATTTGCCCCAAACCAAAAACCTAATATAAAAGCAGAAAATATTTATATTTAGAGTAACACAATAAAAACTAAGAGTAATTTCTTCAATTCGCATCTTGTTGGATGGCTAGATACCACTTCAGTTCCAAAACTTCTCTTCAGGGGCACCACAGCCATTCCATGTACAAACACTCCTCTAATTACGAACTTTCAACTTACGAACTTTCAGATATACGAACAAAGACGACTGTAAGTCCAAATTGTGTTCATTGGGCTCCCGTTTCTTGTCCGCAACATCAATTTTTTTTTTTCTGCCAATTCCGCCTAGTACGACTTCTGGTCGCTACTCCTGCCGCACAGCAGTGTAGCATGCGTACTCCCAGCATCCTAGTTCTTAGTACTTGCGTATACCCTTAAAATGATGTTGAATAACGACTTATGAACATTTCAAGTTACTAACGGCCGTTTGGGACGTATCTCGTTCGTAACTAGAGGAGCATCTGTATTTATTAAATTTCATCATAAGATCAATCATCCATCCATCCATTCAATTTCCAACCCACCTATCCTACTGGGTCACGGGGTAAGATCAATCAATTAAGTTAAATTATTTAAAAAGTCACTGAAGTATTTGTTAACCATACAGTATGAGATGTGCTAGTGGTCAAATAAAAAATATGTGGGTGTACTGGACGGTTGCTGCAAATACTGGGGTGATTTTAGGAGGGGTTTTGAAATGGCTAAGCTGATATGCCAAGACAGACATAATAGCAAGGCTTTACACCAACAGGAAGATCATTTAAACATAATTTTATGTGACTGCATAAGACTTTTTATTCATAATACTGAATCTTAGATATCATCCACAATTTCTGGCTGGCATGTGTGGTGATAGTCTTGGGGACATCATCTATGCATTTATTTATGTATCCAGTGACCAATGATATATACTCCTCCAAGTTGATGAGCCAAGAGTCAAAAGTACTTTATTAGTAATTACTGTTCTTGTTGATTTTACTTATTCCCATGTACTGTAAATACTGTATTCAGTTTTTTTATTGGGCAGAAGGAACATGACAGCGCAGTCATGCCACTAAGTCTTTTGGGAAAAGAATTAGGGAGAATTAAAGATTGAACCCTTCTGGAATATTACGCAATCACCCCGTATTGTACAACAAATGCTGTGTCTTGATTGCACTCACAGACTTTAATAGAATTGAATTTCCCCTTCACACACACGCACACACACACACTGTAATTATACAATACTGTGCAAAAGTCTTAGGCAGTCACAGAAAATGATATGTAAATGTTCTTCATGTTGGTGTAAACCTACAATATGCCTGTCAACATGTGTCAGCTGAGCCATTTCAAAAGATACCCTAAAGTTACCTCATTATTTGCAGCAATCATCCAATGTGACTCAACCACAACCCCACCTTTGGCTAATCAATACCCCATTGAGTTATTTATCAAATCAACTTAATTAATTCATTGAGCTGGCAGAGAAATTTAATAAACACATAGACTGGCTGAGGTGCCCCTAAGGAGAGGTTTGGGAACCAAAGCGGAGTTTATCTAGCTATCCAGCGAGATATTGGTAATTTTTTGAGAACCGATGAAATTCTTGTTTTTTTATTGTGTTACTGTTAGATTGCACATCCTATAATGTTAATTTGTGCTTTTTTTCTGAGAAAATAATACTGCCAAGATAAATAGCTTTACACATTTTCTTTGACTGCCTAAGCCTTTTGCACAGTATACCCACTGGAAGTGAAGCTTGGAGCGTAAGTGCAGGGTCAGGCCATCTCTCCAATGTCCTTGGAGCACTTTGTATGATCTATCATAACATAATCAGCTTCACCAGATCTGCGCCTCTTCTTTCATATGCCACAACTGTCTAGGACTGGAGTTTAGTGACACGATTAAATTCCCATGATAAATTATACCGAGGGGGGAATCTGCCCACAATAAATTTCACTGGTCGAAAATACCGCAGTATAATGAAAATATTACTGTAATACCTTACAAGCCATTCATTCAATTTAACAAAGTGCATTTCTAGCTGTTTGGATCTTTGTTTTCTTTACTTTACAGTCTGATATGAGCTGGTATGAGGTAGTGGAGCGTCATCTGATTATTGATCTCCAGCCCTTTCATGTGTGGGATCATCACACTCATGTCCTGCCACCGTTTCTTCTTCCACAGCTTCCATCGTGGAACAGAGATGGTGGTGCCAGATGCAGCCCTGCCTGGATGGAGAGGAATGTAAAGTTCTCCCAGATCTCAAAGGCTGGAGCTGCGCTACAGGGAACAAGATTAAGACCACAAAGGTATGACCCATAATCTGCTCAACCAGGCCCAAATACTATATTTGGCCTAATGCTCGGTGAAATCGCTCCCCAAAAAAAATTCTAGCCAATATAATATCTAAATAAAGTGTGATCCATAATATGATTGCTATTAAAGTCGTATTAATTATCTGAATGCCAATTTTAGCATCATTTTCACAAGTTTATGGTAGGGCCTATTGATTCTAAAGTGGTTTAGCATTTCAGAAAAGGCTTCACAGGGATTTACTGATGAGGTGTAGTGTTATTTTAAAAATTATGTGTGTGTGTGTGTGTGTACTTGTGTGTGTGTGTGCGGATTATGATTATATTACCATTGTGGGGACCAAATATCCCCCACAATGTGATGAAAACCTGTTATTTGGACGTTGCAAGGACCATTTTTCAGGTCCCCACAAACATCTGTGAATGAAACCAAAAATCTAAAAATGCCAAAAGTTTCGTATTTTGTTTGGTTATTTATGGTTAAGGTTAGGGTTGGGTAGGGGTTAAGGTTGTCATGTTGGGAGTTTTCCCCATAGAAATGAATGGAGAATCTTAAAAAGATATACAAAGATATAATTACACACCTGTGTGTGTGTGTGTGTGTGTGTGTGTGTGTGTGCGCGTGCGCGTGTGTGTGTATAAAAGCTGAAATTTGTTTATTTTGTGTCCTTGAAACTCACAGATTTCTCCTGACAAAGACCAGCTTTGGTAATACACAGAGATCCACTGCAGGTAGCTGCTTTTAAGTTAAATCCTTGTAATATTGTTTCCAAACATTCAAGTAACTACGTTGTTTCAATTCTTAAAACAAATTGTATCTCAGTAGCTCACAAAATAACTTCCTTTTTCTATATAATTACAAAGCACGCAGTGATTTTGCACAGAAACTGAATGCTGAACCAAATACGACCCCCCCCCCCCTTTGTCTGTTACTCACAGTGAGATGAGACCGCAAAGCTGGAGCCCAGATCACTTCTCCTGTCGTGGCACTTTGCAGATGCCAGATGTTCATATAACCAATCAGCTTTTATGAATAATGTGGAGCCAGCACAGAAAATCAGATGCAGGATGAAGGATGTGCTGCTGATCTATGAAATGCATTCGTAAAAGCCTTTAGCCAATATTGAAGTAAATAAATACAAATCTTGTCAATTATTTTGCTATAAAGAAGCAAGTAGAATCATTCTATATCTAGATTATGCCCAACTTTCCAATATGAAACAATTCCACAATAAGAAAAACATTTATCTCAGTGGCAGCTAGGAACTGAAATCAGGTTCTGTATGAAAGAATGCATTATCTGTACATGCAGTGTGAATTTTTAAGCAGCATAACGAAAAAGCTTGCTGTACTTTAATTCGATTGTTGTATGCTTTTATTATGTTACACTATCCATTATCATGACTAATGTTTAAAATATAAAACCTCCCATAAAGGGGCAAAAATTTGTTTCAAATCACAATATTGAAACCATCATTAATTTGGATGAATGTGCAAAAAAGAGATCAATGGATAATTCATAGCCATGATCTTTTGACATCTCCTGCCAGATTTAATTAGCTGCATTTGTTATTAATGCTTATGTTAGGCAATAGAACAGTCATTTATCATAGGAAGTGGCCATAAAGGGAATTAGCTAACATTTACAAGTGGGTGTTTTAGTAAACAGACCCTGCGTTACTGAAACACTGGCCAGTAACAAACAGCATTTAAAATAAGTATTTAATTTACACCTTCGTAGCATCCAGATGATGAAAATTTAATGTGATTTGTACGCTTGTAGTTTGAGTGATTTCGTCACACTGACTCCATGAATTCGTTTTGTCCATCAGTACGTCCTCGATTTGTGCTAATCAGTTTCCTGCTTTTGCTCATTTCAAATTAGAAAACTGCCAGCTGAAATATTTCCAAGCACCCATGTGACTCCAGGATTGTTTACAGTATGTAAAATGGAGGTAATAGTGAACTTAACACAGCTTAATTGGGTGAACAGTGCGCTCACCGTCGGTGTCATTAGACACAGTTAAAGGTCTTGTCATTATTTCATCATCTGTGCGATCCTTGCCTCCAGCCCACCAAGATTTCAGGTTTGCCAAATATAGCAGCTTCTGTAAATGTAAGTTAGCACAGAGAGGCACAATGCAGTGGATGCTTATGGGCCGCTGGGACAAACACGCAGGTGTCATTTATTGTGATGCAGCGTAAAGCTATCTCTGTTTTCATTCTTGGCTAAATGAATTTGACCATTCTGGTACAAGGACATTTTCTACTGAATGCATAGTCTCCATAACAACATAGTGAAGGTAAACAAGAAATGTATATTTGAAAATATATTACTATAAAAGCAGTATACATTTATAACTGGTGACTTTTCAAAAAAATGTTTTTTCCTGTATAAAGTATTCTCCATCTAATGTGTTTATAAATTAAAGCCAGCTGAAATGTCTTTTGAAAATTTGCATTTGTTAAGGAATAACAATGAAAAGATTAATTTACTATGAATTCATGTCTGTCCTTGGTATGATTTATTTGTGCAGTGGTCATATGATTATATAAATAAATTATAACTGTACCCTTAAATTGTCTCCAATATAAATATTTTCACAATGCTATCTTAAGTGTTTTTTATTTGCAATAATAAAGACGCTGTACGTCCTTAATACAGCTGGGATGAATACTGTCTATTAATGCTAACCCAAGGTCTTTGCAAACATAAGTGGAAATCACACACCATCCAGAGGTTTGGTTGGGTAGCTTAAACACCAACTTTCAAATCATGATCTAATCAGAATTTCAGCGCATATCCCAGGAAGCAAAGCGTGTGAAGCAGGCTGCGGATGGGGAATCCGTTAATGGAACGGCACACTATACATTAACAGAAATGATGAGTCACTGGGTCATCTGATCAGCATAATTTTTGGAAGACAACTATGCAAATACAAGGGAAAGACACGACTCATGGATATTCGAGCTGAATGCTAACTTTTTCCACTAGCAGCCTGAAGTGATCCTGCTACCCACTGAGACCATAACCTTGCCCCCATGTCAGCATTCACGATGTAAATACAGAATTTTATAAGCATATTTAAAACCATGTTTATGTAATCAGTGACAGGTGCTCTCCCTCACACCTCCAGAGGTGGAGCTCTGTGCAGGTATGCAGTTTCTCCCTCTGTAACATGGGTTTCCCACCATCATCCAAAGACATGCAGTAAGATTAACTGCCGTCTCTAAAGTCCTTATAGTGTATGCTTGAATGTGCCTTGTGATGGACTGGCATCCCATCCAGGGTGTCCCCCAACCTTGTGCCTATGCTACCTGACAGCTCCAAGCCCCCCATAACCCTGACCAAAATAAGTTCTTGGAAAATGGATCGATATGTTATTTGATATGATGGATACTGAACATATATGTGTTCGACAACTCAGATATTTTAAGGTACTAGTAGTATATATACATCGGTCCTGAACTATTTGCTTTCCCCATATGTACGTACCAGGGACTTACTCTGGACCTCAAACCCAATGTTAAATCAGTCTGCTGCCTAATATAAAACTGTGTATCAACAGTCATATACACAACCATGATATCTGCATTGATATCTCACCATTTGATAAACCTTCTTTTTTTAATTTTAGCCAAAAAACAATCAATGGAATTCTGGCCAGGCTCCTTTGAAGCATTAAACTTCATCTGAATGGGCTTTGCAGCCACTATTATTCTTACCGCTGTTATTACAAGCACACATCAAAGACATGCCTATCTTTTCCTTATGCTGAACAGTTTCTTAACCAACTTCCTTAATTAAACGTGTTGCCTCGGGAGTGATGCCAGCCACTTCAGTTGAATTTCATTAAAGGCTCCATGTAAACCAGCAGTGATCATATCACTGGCTTTCTGCTCTGATGTATTGAATAGTTTTACATAACAAAGGAATGTCTCAGTCTCCAAGTACTTTTCGATGGAGAATAAAGCCCATTGCATGGTAAGCTGCAGGAAGCTTCCTGAGCTATAAATAGTGTGAATTTCTCCAATATCTAATCATGTTTGTTATAACAATGCATCACTGGTTATGTTTTTGCAAAGTGTAAAGCTTGCAGTTTATATGAATGTATGATACTTCATGTGAGTGTGGTTCTTTTCAATTTGAATGCTATAAATCTCAGAAGTAGGTATAAGATTAAGCAATCTAATCTGATGAATGATACTTGCCCCTGTTACAGTACACCAAAATTATACTCATGAACATAAATTTACGGACCTGAAACTCCTGTGCAACTCTGATGTATCACTGCATGCAATTATCATTTCATTCTCACCTATTAAAATGATTGTTATTCATCAGTTGCCAATACCACCAGTTTGTTTGTCACACTGGGAAAAATATAACAAACTAAGTTTAAAATGCACGAAAAATAGACAGATACAACAGATACAGAATTGCTGAGTAGGATTATCTGGTAGTACTAAGTTTCTTGTTTTAGTAAAAAAAAAAATCACCAGACTGTCAAAGTACTACACTTCTCATTTCAATCCATAATGCATCAAATGATGTGCAGTTGGGAATACTTACTATTTATAATATTCATTCATGCCAAAATCACTTGTGATTTCCCCAAAGCCTAAATGAACTGCAGAACTATTTGTAAAAATTGATTACTCAATAGTATTGGTGATTGCTGTTTTGCTTGTAATTAAATCATTTAATTGTTGCATTTAGTTTAATATGTCTGGTGGTGTTTTCTGCCAGAAAAAAGAGATTCTGGACTTTTTTTTTAATTTATAGTAAGGTCCACCTCAGAAGCAAATCTCAGATCAGCCATGGCGGTTTAATTAGTTGAACTGAGTTTTATTGATATATTTTTTCAGCCCGGAGAACATAATTCAACTCTGCTTCAACTATATATAGTTTCAGTGAAGTGAACAGACTAATAAAGAATAGTTAGTAAAGTAACGTTTGGCTGAAGGAGCGGGCAGGAATGTTTTAAGTGGGTGGGAGTGCTATATACAGAGAGCTTTGTCAGTATAAGCGTGCATCTGTTGCAGGCATGGACCGGTCATCAGACATACTGTACAGATGGATTTCTGAGCCAGGATAATTAATCGCGGGGGACCCCAAAGTCCAGGGCCCGTTTTCAGTCCAGACCTCATTTGTTGCAGTATGGTGATTGGTTCTACACGTGCCTGTATATTCTTATGGGTGGGACTACGTTTCATTTTATCATGTACAATTTAAGCTTGATTTTTATAATCTGGGGAAATCATCCAATGAGGGGGCGGCATGGTGGCCCAGGGGTGACATGGTGGCTCCGTGGTTAGCGCTGCACTTGTGGGTTTGAGCCCTTGTCCTGGATCTGCATGTGCATATTCTCCCAGTACTCACAAGTTTTTCAAGGTACTTCCTAGGTAAGTTTAGCTCAGAAGGAATTCTCTGTTATCCAAACTTCAGAGCGCTAGAGAGGCAAACTGGAGAAGCAAAACTCAATTCAAGTACATAAAATAAAAATATACATGATACTATCGAGTTGAAAATGTCATTTCCCTTTAACAAATGTTTAAAATTGGGGTTGAATGGTGGCTTCACAATCACACCAAAACATGCAGGTAAGCAAACAAGTGTCTCTCAATTGGCGAGACTATGTGAGCATGCACCCTGCAATGGCCTGGCCCCCCATCCAGGGGGCGCCCTGCCTTTCTCCTGAGATAGCCTCCAGGTGCGCAATGATCCTATACTAGAAAAGAAGTTAAGGAAAATAGATGACCGAAGGCATACATTTTCAGGCCACTCTGTAAATGATTCAAGCTTAGAATTAAGTCCAAATAAGCATCATTAGTAACACAGATTTATGTTTTAACAAGTCCAGGCAGCTGGCTTCAGGCATTCTGTTCCTTGCAATTCAATTCATCCATGAGCTGTTAACCTCTTTCTGTTGCAGGATAAGAACATCATTGTTACTGTAACATAAATAGTGTCTATTTCATACAATTAAACCATTAATATTATAATGAAATGAAAAGAATGAAAATACAACTCTCATTTACAATATTACAAAGCAATATGTGCAGTTTATTTTTTTGATCACAGCTTAACATATTGCAAAAAAATCCAAAGGTCCCCTGTGATGTCTCAGGACATAATTACAGCTCTCTCATTGTCTGCAGTTATTCCCCGGAGCTGTATGGCACAGTGTTATCACATCATTATGCATGCAAAGGGCAGGTCCTCTTTTGAGAATTTTGAGATTTTATGCTCCATTCCAAAAGTGTAGCATAAAAAGTTCAGTATGACAAAGAGCAACTGCACATTCACAAAGTTCAAATCCAAATAGCCATCCCTTTAAATACTCTCTTCAGTGTCATTAAAAGATATCTTGGCAAATGCTTGAAATTACTTATTAAAGTGATGGTTTGTACTGCTTTCAAACTAAATGATCAGTCTAAGTACAGATTTTATTTTATACTGTTTACTTTCCGTACGCTGAGAATATGTTTCACATTCAGTGTGTAGGATCCTACGACTGCCCTGTCTGCTCTAATGTAATTGCAATGGATGGATGGATAGATGCACTGATGGATGGCACTGGCATCAAGCACTTTTACACAGTATTGCGTAAAAATCATAACGGCAGATGTACCAGAAAAGAAGTTAAGGATGCCAGTTAATAGACGGGTGAAGGTCACTGTGTACTACAGTCATTATAAAATGATAATGATCACTGAAGCATTCCAGACAGAATGGGCCCTCAGGTACCACCTGAAGTTCAGATTTGGCAATTCATCTGAAGTCCTTCTCTGTACTTGTATGGGAGACCAACTGGGAAAGCTGGGTTTCTGCTGGAAGAGGTGTTGGTGTGGCCAGTAGGTTAGCCCGTGCTGTGGTCTGTGTGGATCCCAATGCCCCAGTGCAGTGACGGGGACACTATCCTGTAAAAATGGCGTCGTTCCTTCATATGAGATATAAAACCAAGGTCCTGATTCTCTGAGGTCAGGAAAGATCCATAGGTATTTTTCAAAAAAGTAGGGGTGGTACCCTGATATCCTGGCTACAATTACCCTCTGTGGCCCTATCAAATCTGGCCTCCTAATCATCCCTTATATCTAATTGGTGAATTCTCTCCTGCCCCTTCACCACCTTAGCTACTGTGCGGTGAGTGTACTGGCACAGAATGGCTGCCGTCACATCATCCAGGTGGGGGCTACACAGTGCTGGTGGTTGACGTGGCTCCACATTGGTTCTGTAAAGTGCTTTGGGTGTCTTGAAAAGTGGTATAAAAATGTAACAATCATTAATTCGTTCATAGTGCAAGGACACTATACTCCATAACATAATAGAAACGCTTAAATGAACATAGCAAATAAGGGTATTCAACAGGTGCTTGGAAAACTTTACAGGGACAGTGGACCTTGCCTTGCTGATGAAATCTGGACCTTGAGGAATAATAGTTGAGTACCCCTGATAATAATAAAGCTCCTTAAACTACACAGTCTAATTCTGTTGAGGGATGCAGTCAATAACTGATATTCTAATACCAGTGCATCTTGTCCCAAGTCATTCTAATTATTTTAAGACCAATGGATTGCTATTATCATATTTACAGTGGTAG